GTGTGCGTGTGTGTGTGTGTGGAACCAACAGCAGCAAGAAAACTCCAATAATTAATAATATTGGAGTTTAATAATAATTAAACTCCAGCGACAGGACGTGGCGGTACCTTTACACTGAAAGGATGTCTCCTTCTGACTTCCTGCCTCCTCGTCAGACTTCAGGCTCTGCAGTGAAAACATGAAGGTCAGTGATTGCAACACACACACACACACACACACACACAGACACACACACACCGTGAAGCCGACAGCTATTGGAAAACATTCCTGAGCAGTCGTTACTTCTGCCGCACTGAGCACGTTATATATGTGTGTGTGCGTGCTCACGTGCACACTCCTGACTGTCACGCTGAAGAGCTTAGCATGTGAACCCTCGTCCATCAGGACCTTTACGACGTGTTTTGGTCGCAGATTAAAATGTTTAAATATTCGATGAAGAAATCTTCAAAAACATTCAGAATCAGCTGATCGCTGCCATCAGCGTCACATCATCACAGTCCAGTGATGGACTCTCTGCAAAAACAGTTTCACTGACAGATACAGAGAGATTATATCGATTATAAATTAAATAATAAATTATAATTCTGCCTGAAGTGCACACTCAGGCCTGTGAGTCCCGCTCAGCCACGGCTCATCTCTGCCTTTCAAACACACTTCGTATGCTGAACTGTACATTTATTGTCTTTAAGGAAGTCGTTTTTATTCAGTGTTTTCATAAAAGCCTCATTTTTCTGCATTTCCTGCTACTATGGAGAACACGCGTGAGTTGAAGGACCAGTTGGAAACCTTTATGCAGCTGCTGATGTCATCATTGCTCAGCTCTGCAGTCGGCCCTCGAGGACGGGAGTTTGAGACCCCTGCTCTCGCTTATTTGGTTGCAGTTCTACTGAGATTTAAAAATAGATATGCAAACAGGATCGTGGGCGCTGCTCCCGTGGGCGCTGCTCTGTGGGCGCTGCTCTGTGGGCTCAGGCCATGATGTCTCGTGGGCCACGTGCTCTGTTTCAGATCCAAATGAAAACTCTCTGATGTTCCTGTGTCAGTCTGACTCTCAGCACTTTACCGTCTTATGCAGACTGACTAATTCACCACAGCTGTGGTCACACTGTGAAAACGTGTTTGGTGAGAGGTCGCCGACCAGTCTCCAGGGCTTCCACTGATCAGTGCAGGAGGAAACACACGGACTCATGAAAGAGGCCAGTGTGTCAGCAAACTAAGGTACAGCATGAGGACAAAACTGAAGGCACCGCGACGCTGCGCCAGCCTGGAGGGACAAAGTCCAAATCCATACTCGGCACCTCTCCAGCATCAGAGAGTCAGTTACTCGACTGCAGTCAGACTGTTTCCTTCTGAAAAACTGTCCAACTCCTCAGACAAACCAGGAAGAAAGGAACGGGTGGCTCTGGTGTAAAGAAGTGAAGAAGAAGAAGAAGAGGTGGAGTCGTGTTCCCGCAGCAGAGCCGCTGCACTGAAGCTGTTTCACATTCTCAGTCAGCAAAAACTAAAAGTGAGAAGCAGCCAAACCAGCGGAGCGTCTGCCAGCAGTCGCATTCCTCACAATCCCACTTCCTGAAAGACCTCCGCCGCCCCGAAACCGCCAAACCTCCTCCTCCCCCCTCAGGTATTCACAGCCTCGGCTGCAGAATTGCAGGAAACCTGAGACCAGCTGACTTCACACAGTGAGAACCAGACCGCAGCCTCACCGATGCAGAAACATTCAGAGGTCAGAGGTCACAGCATCGTCACGGCACGAGAACAAAGTGACAAAGAGCTGAGTGAACCTCCTCCTCTGCAGGGACTCCGCCCTCTGCGTGCAGCTGAAAACCTAAAACCAGAAACTCTAATTAGAGAGCTGCAGCTCCCGAACGCCTCGGCCGGCGCAGACACACGAGATCCAGGCGACGGGCGACGGCGGGAGCCTGCGGCGCGGCACGCACACACGGTTTCAGGTGTTCAGTCAGACAGCATCACTGCGGTACGCTCACACGTACAGGAAGCCCACACTCAGGGCGTTCCCACAGTTTTTAACTGAAAATGACTCTCAGACCTCCAGCCGCCATAAACATCCTGACGAGTGAACCGAGTCACATGACCACACCTGGGCGTCTGATAATGTGGCTTCATGTAATCCATGAATCGAGGCCCGAGCTTCCAACCACGGGCGCGATGACAGAGACGCCACATGTGCCAACATGTGACTTTGTGTTGATTATGATTTTAAAGTCTTTATTAAGCTAATCGCTCCGGCCCAGCGAAGACACACCACAGCCGGGTCAGCGTCTCAAACTCAGTCAAAGGAAAGAACAACAGGAAGTCAGTGTTTCAAAATAAAACTAGCTGTCTCACCTCCACGCTTTCCAGTGACGTCGCCCGTCTCAGTTTGGCCTTTCGGACGCCGGTCGGTGACGAGTCTGAGGCCTCCGCTCTGGACGGCGGAGAGTCTTCTGAGTCACAGGTAAGCGCGGCGTCGGGTTTACTGCGGCGGCCGTAACGCTTCGCTCCTTTCACCAACTTTGGCTTCACCTCCTCTGGAACAGCTGCAGAGAGGAAGAGGAGCGGCCTGAGTGGGTCAGCGAGACGCCGCTGCGACACTCGGAGCCAGAACGTGCCAAAGAGGAATCCTCCTCGGACTTTAACCAGACCACCCAGCTGCACGCCTGCAGACGGCGTCTATCTGCTCGCTCTGTCCCAGTTCTACATCCAAACTGTTCAGAGGGCCGAGGATTCGCGCGGCGTCCTGCTGCGCCACAGACACTGAAACCATGTTGGGTGATAACGAGCTGCTCAGTTTGCTGTGGTGTCAGCGACCGCAGCAAACAGCAACACGGCGTCGGCTGTCTGAACATGTAAACGCCGTCACGCCTGCATGGCTGCCTCATGATTCATTTCTCAAAGTGTGATGATGACTTCACACAATCGAGCAGCTTGAACTGAAACAAAATGTTTGAAATGTTACAAACAGAGCTGACAACAAAAATGGAGGACGATCCTCGGCTCCTCTATGCTGAGGAAGTCTTCCTGTCCTGGACTCGCACGTCTGCAGGTGGACCTGGATGATATCAGCTGAGCTCAAAGCTTCTTTAAGCCACAAAGGAC